GTCCTCAAAATATTTGCACTTACATTAGACGTTTGGATACCTAAGGATTCTATCTTTTCTTTTTTTTTTTAATGTTTTACTTTACGTTAAATTAAACTAAATCACATTTTAACGTAATTTAAATATTAGGGATGTGTCGGCTAATGAATTTATCGTATAATTGGATGTTAGACAATCCAACATTTATCGTCACCGAATAATCGGATATTATTCGCCAATTATTACAAATAAATTGAAAAAGTGAAGTGTATTTTATATATATAATATATATAATATATTACATATTACATATATAACTTTTATATGAAATATTTTCCTTTGAAATGCATTGTTCAAGAGATATTAAAATGCATTATTTAAAATGGGGCATCCTATGTGTTTGTATGTATGTTAATCAATAATCAAACTTTAAGTTAAATATTGGTAAAAATATTTAGTTAGATTCATCAGACATCGTGAAATATCTTGAGAATCTATATTACATCAGATATCTGGCCAACTTAACTAAACATTTTTATCATATATTTTAAATAGTACAAGTTATTAATTTTAATACTCATTATATATCAGAAATTCAAATTTTATATATAATTATTATTATCTATTAGATTATGGAAAACGATTTTTTTCGTAATTTCGGCTGGATATCAGATAATTGTCAGATATTCGGCACATCCCTATTAAATATTATACGCATATAAAATATCAATTAATTTGATTAATGAATTTTTTAAAAATAAAAATACTTCGCATTTATTAACAAAAAATAATTAATAATATAACAATTACTCAATAGATCAAAAAGGAAAGATGGGAGACTTTAGATAAGATAAATTTACTGGTCTAGAATTAAACCGCACGGGCGACAAAGTTAATGTCTCCGATTTATTCTACGTATGGCAATGCTTAGTGTTACCATAAGACACTTTTGGATATATAAAAAATTCACATACCATTATAGTATAATATTAAAATGTACGGCATGTATAACGTAGTATATACTCGTGCGAAATCGAATAAAAACCCTTAACAGTAGACCCAGTGCTTTAGACTTAGCACTCGAATACCGTTACGGTGACTTAATCGTCTTCATTGTCATCGGCGCGTCGAACATGTTTATACGCGTACAGCCGTACATATTCGTTACATATCTTCTTCCGTATCGCGTGAAATGCGTACGTATTTCCGATCGAGTACAATAAAACATCGACTGTTGTTATTCGTACGTCGATCGGCGCTAAATAATCTTAACTAAATTTCGTAGTACCGACGGCAATTGCAGCTATAATTTAGAAGAGGACAGCAAATGGCTAAACAGATAGCAGATACTGTCCTATATGAAATTCAAGCCGAACCAAGCCAGCTCGAGAATTGGTTCAAAACTAGGATTGACACCACGATTACAATTTCGACGAGCTCAGCTCAGTCTGGAGCACACGCAAATGGCATCTACAGCGCGGGGAGACTCGAGCTCGTCGAAGGTATTACATCCGATCAAAGTGCAAAAGTATAGTTCCAGTTTCCGCTGAGCGTCCGCTGTGTAATCTCGCTGTAAGTAAAACAGCGCGAGACGGTCGCTCGTCGAGTCGTCCGACTCGTCCCGACTGCGATCTGACGATGACCTAGCGATCCTCCTCTTATTTAATTCTCGGTATTTACAGGCTCGCGCGCATGATGAATTCGCACGTGCTTGTTGTGATTGGACTTGGTGCCGCTGGACTTACCGCAAATGTGGCACGTGTACGGTCGCGCGCCCGAGTGCACCCGTAAGTGCTCCTTAAGATAGTACGAGCGGTGGAAGGTTTTGTTACACACATCACACGTGTACGCCTTGTTCTCCTCGTGCTCCTTTACGTGCCGCAGGCAATTGTATTTGCGGATGAACTGCGCGCCGCAATAGTTGCACGTGTACGGCCGCACGTTCCGATGGGAATTCATGTGCGCCGTGTAATCGCTGTGACGATAGAACGCCGCGCTGCACTGAGTACATTTGAACGGCTTGGTGCTGCGCGCCGCGTGAGTCCATTTGTGCAGCTGCAGATTCCACTTGGTACTGAACGCCTTGGAGCAGACCTGACACTCGTACGGCCGTTCCCCGTTATGCACTCGCATATGCACCGCCAGCGAGGATCGCAGGTAGATACACTTGCAAATTGGGCACTCGACGTTCTCACTTTCGCGCTGGGCATCGGGCACGAATCGGCGATTGTGAGCGCGACGCATATGACGCGTCAGGCTGGCCATGTGGATGAATCGCTCATTGCAATACGTGCACGCCTTGGGCTTCTCATCGTGAGTCTCCTTGTGCCAGGCGAGTTTTTTTTTCGTATGAAACACCTCACCGCAGTGGCATATATAGTCTTTGAGCTTCTTCTTGATATTAAGATGGTGTCTGTTTTTGTGCTGAGTCAAATTCGAGTATCTACGGAAGGTCTCGTTGCATAGGCTACAACGAACGGGCGCGTTACCGGTGTGACCGTTGGTATGCTCCTCTAACTTCTGTTTGGTAAGGAACGCCTTGTCGCACACGGTGCACGGGAACGGCTTGATGCCCAGGTGTCGTTTCATATGGAGCTTAAAGTTCTGCTTCCGGTAGAAATACTTGCCGCACTGTCCGCATTCTAACGGATGTATCTTCAAGTGGGCGTTGAATAGGAACACTGATGGGAACTCTTCATTGCATATCTGGCACTTGGAAGTCTCGCGTATGCGTTTGTTTACATCAGCGATATGCACGCGCCGATGATGTGCCTGCAGAGACTTCTCGCTGTTGAATCGCTGATTGCATATCGTGCAGATCACCTCGATGTTTGAGGGTATCACCAGATTCTCACCGATCTTCTGGTCATTTTCGGCCTTCGTCAGACCATCCGAGCCAGGCTGCGATGGCGGCTGCAGCTGATGCAAGAGAGGTTGCTGATGATGATACATCTGTTGCATGTGTATACTCGGCACAAATATATCGTCGAACATGTTTATACGATTGTCCAGCAATTTGATGTCCTTTACCTCTGGCTGATCCAATTGGTCTCTACTGCTACTGGGCATCGCATCCTTGTGAACTGTTGTGCTGTGAACTCTGCGCTCCTTTGGGCAATCGAACACTTCGCTACAGTGAGAACACTTGAATGTCCGTTTGGTCGGTGTCTTTCGGTCTCGATCCAGAAACAGACTTGATGTAAAATGCGTAGCCAATGATCTACTGTCCAACAACGGCCCGCTGATCTCGTTGTCGGATCCTTCCGATTCTTCCCAGCTTTCTCGAGCCAAAAGATCATAAGAAGTTGACATGCGTGAGGATTCTTGACCCATGTACAACTATACAGTAAAACCGCACTTTAGAAATACACAAAGAATATAATTAAATATAATTGATGTACGTTAATTTAAAAAAATATAATTGTCTAATGTAACAAAAGAAAGAATTTTGTTTGTTTGTATTATTATTATATGTTTGTCATTATTTCATTTGCATAAATTTTATCTTAGATTTATTAAATTATATATAATTTATATGCAAATAATTTTGTTAATATTTTTTAGGCTACTTCAATTTCATTACTATAAGAATGTAAACATAATAAAACATTAAGATATGATAATTTTACGATAATAATTTAAATAACAATAATTTCATAATTTCGTAATTTTTAAAATATAATGTAATAAAATATTTAATAACTACTCCTTTCAATGAGTCCATGGAAAAGGTAGGGTATAATTTACAACACATTTTAATGACTGTAAAAAGATCAATTTAAATAATAATCAATGATATGACTTAAAATCAATTTATCATAAAATTAATAGGTAAATAAAAAAATTCTAGTCTTGTGTTATCCTTATTGCTCATATTTAACGCAAATAAATAAAAAAGTTTAAAGGAAAAAAAACTTTTTTAAAGTAAATGTTTATATAAGCTTTTTGTGAATATAAAAGATGGTTGCAAATATCGTCATAAATAATACAAAGAATTATATGTAAAGAACTCCTACTGTATATGGGGACATTAAGAAAGAATAATGCACGTTACAAACCTGCCATGCAGACTGCTCCGTGCACCCATTGCTTTCTTGTTCCGACAATTCGCCTCTGGGCGGCATAGTCTCATCGGCACGCATATTAATACTCTTCACCTCCTCGTCGATGCCTATCGCACCCTCGCTACTTGCCATGGATTGCTGGCTAGTCGCGCTCACCGCTTTCTGGGACGAGTCACTTATAAACGTACTAGTAGGAACTAATATTTGCAGTCCGTCGAATTCAAAGACATTAATCGGCCCGGCGTGAGCATCCTCATTTATGTTGAGCAGTTCCATCGATTGCTTCGGCATCAACGACTTGGCGGAGTGAAAACTCCTGGATTCGGCGCTAGTTGTAGGATTGATCGACTCCGAGAGATTCAGGAGATTCTGCGTCTTGGTGCTCGTCGTGATGGAATAGGACTCGTGCATCAAGACGGACGATTGCGAGTGTATCACGGGGAACGAACTGACGTGCTCGGTAATCACGGACTGATGGTACGTGTAGCTGCTACTCGATTCCTGAACCTTCGCGACGTTCTCGCATACCGCGACCTGTGCCTCCTGACGCTGATGATCAGTCTTGATTTTCTCCTCCTCTACCTGAGAACAGTCAATCGGATCTTTTTCTGCGGTGTTACCTACGCCATTGCTGTCCTCATCGTGAGTCACGCTATCACTGTCGACGTGGTGAAACGAGTGTACGGACGTGGGTGAGCACGGTTTGCTGAGATCCTTCCTGACTCTCAACACGGAAATACCGCTGATCGTGGACAATGGCGTATGCGAACGGACACCGCAATCCGCGAAGGGCGTGTGTGGACTGGGAATTTCATCGATCTCCATGTCCGCCTCGTCGAAATTGTCCTCTTCGTCCATTTTCTCGTTTTCGTCCTCGTCTACGTCCTCGTCGTCGTCCTCGTCGTCATCATCGTCATCCTCGTCATCGTCGTCATGCATAGGCGTCGCGTCATCGAAGCCGACACGATGGCGGTACCCGCTGAGATTTTCGTACGACCCATGCTCCGATCGCGAGCTGTAGTGACGCACGTTTCTGCGACCCTTCTTCCTCGCAATTGGGGACGCAGGCGCTGAAAAACTATACTTATAATTATCTGAATGAAAAGTTCTATCCAAAGTTCTTTCTAGGGTGTCGTTTACTTTCGAACAGTCTATTTTGCATAACGAACGACAACGTTTCTCTAACATTCTCAGTTCATTGGCTACGTAATTACTCGGGCTCCACGTATTGTTCTCCTCCTGTATGTCGGGCAATATGTGATCTTTCTCGTGGGCACCTGGAATTGTGACTACCGTATCGTGAATCACACTCTCCTCCCGATCCACCACGGCGTTCTTCTCCTTCGCGTCTACCAATCTCTCCTGATCATTTTGCACATTACTGTCTTTCTGCAGCGAAGCATTATTAAGTTCCGTTTCCATTATCGTTATCAGATTCTCCAATTTTTCTACCGAGTTAAGCTCGGGTTGGACAGAGTCTTTCAACGCGTCTATTGCTATTATATCCCGCGGAGATGCAACGTTACTGTTGACAACGGTACCGTTGCTGCCATGACTTACGGGTCTCTCGTCGCTTATTACTTCCGACTCGCGATCGCAAGCCACGGAGTCGGCGTCAGCCGTCGCATTAGATTTTCTACTGGATACACTTATATACCCCTTCTCCATGATCTGCTGCGTAAACTGTTGTGTTTCCGGTTGCTCGTACGTCACAGATTTACATTGCATATCCGTGGTCGAAATGCTGGTCGGCAGCTCCTCGTCCACCATGTCCGGCAACACACTCTCCACTTTGTCATCGGTATTATCTATAGCGCAAGCGATTGTAATAGATCTAGTAATAGTATTATATTCGTGCTGCACCGTATTTTCACCAGCGGATGTAGAACTTTGCGTCTGCTGCCCCGGTGATCAATCGGCAGTGCACTGCCGTCGTCGCTCTCCTCCCTCACCCTGACGGATATATCCTCGTTCTGCAACACCGGCGAGGCCGAAAGACTCACATCCGGTATAACTTGTCCAGCCTCGGACTCCGTATCTGGTAGAATCTCGGGCAGAATCTGCTTCGGCTCAGGACTATTTACAGGAACTGTCAGGGTTCTGACGTTGCTCTCCCCAGCCACCGTGACTACTGGTCGGGCCCTCGTCGTCGCGCCAGGAATAGCTGCAACTGGTGAGATCATTTGGACGGTGGGTATTTGCTGTTGGTACATACCATATGGATTATACAGCATCTGCATCATCTGATTGGCTTGCGGCGCCATCGCGTACTGCGGTATCATCATGGTCCCATTGTTCACAAATTGCTGATAGCTGAATGAGGTGAACTGCGGTGGCATCATGGTGCTTATGGGCGGACATTCGAAGATAGGTCCTACAGGATATGGTGAATGAGTAGAAATATGCGCATTCTGCGAGACCTGGGACGACGTTTGAGGCGTCTGGATAGAAGAAGGGGTCTGAAGTGTAGCTTGCGATTGCAATGATAAAGGTAATGACGTTGCTGTTGTTGTCGCTACTGCTGCTGCTGGAGCTGGTAGAGCTTGTTGTTGTTGTTGTTGTTGTTGTTGTTGCTGCTGCTGTTGCTGTTGCGTCTGCAACGAGGAGGCGCTGGCTTTGATAAGAGCCTCTATAACCTGTTCCTTGGGATGAGTGTCCAGATGTTTTTGCAGACTGATACCCTCGCGTAAATAAAGAGTACACACGGGACAAGCCACGGCCCCGACGGGCGTTCCCGCACCGTTGAGCTCCATCGTTATTATTTTATGGCCGGCGGTCGATTTTACACGTACGATCGTATTGACAACCTAGCGGAAAGAGCGTTTCACACATACGACGGGCCGACGCAACGAGAACGGATCCTCTCGTACACAGGCATCCGCTTCTCGTTCAAGACCGAGTGCGATCGTTGCCCGTGTGTGCGCGCGTGTGTGTGTGTGTGTGTGTGTATGTGTGTATGCGTGTGCCTCTCTTTCTCTCGCTCCTTCTTTCTCTCTCTTTTTTCCCTGCCCGTTCCGGCCACGCTCCTCTCTACGTGTTGAAATGGAATAATCGTCGCCGGGGCGGCCGTCTCGCGTCACATCTCGTCGCTTATCGGGCACGCGGTCGCGCACGCACACGGTACAGCTGCACATCGCTGTGCCCCAAAAATATCGACGTCCATGGCTGTCCCCGTAATGCTTAACAGCCGTACGCGGTGCTGCGTATCCTGTGCGATGTGCCGCGAGCAGCAGCGGCGGTGGCGGTGGTGGTGGTGATGGTGGCGGCGGTGGCAGCGGCGGCGGCGGCGGCGACGGTGGTGGCGGCGGTGACGGCGGCGGCGGCACTGGCTCGCCGCCACCAGACAAATCGATATCCTGTTAAATCGCCAGCCAGCCGCCAGCCTCCCCAGCCTGCCTGCGCTTATTAAATTACACCTGCCTGCACGCGGCGCGGCCGACGCACGACGGACGGACGGACGCGTGTTGGGACGCGCGCTGCGCTATCACTCCGGGCACACACGGGACTCGCGCACGCACACGGCTGCCCCTTTGCGCGGCGATTATCGCGACGGCATGTCTCTTTTTTTTCCTCCCTCTTCGACACGGCACGGTCGCGGCCCCAAAAACACAACAGAAAACAGCGACGGACGATGATAATTCCGCCTGGGAAAAGGAGCGACGAGAGCCACCCGAAGCCCGCAGCGCGGCATGTGGCGCTCCCTGCCAACTCGTCGCCGCGACGCTCGAGCACGTTGTGTAATTACATGACACCTGTTTTCATTAATACTGATTAATACTGATCATTACGTATGTAAACTGAATAAAGAAACTAGTAATGCTTTATATAATAAACAATAATAATGGGAATCGACACCCTATCGTTTTTCCAAATTTTTACTTGTATTTTTTATTACGTTGCTGAATATTGCACATAATATAACTTTTGTCTTTTATGCACTTTTCGAAAATATTTATACATTTATATCCATAATATGTATGTTTTGCCAATGTCACGAGCTGCAGCAGTGCATGTAACACTATAGATTGATTCTAGATATGTTATACGATGGGTTATCTGATAGTACATTTTTTGAAGCTCTATAGTTTCCCTAGCCAATAACCAATCATATGACATCTGAGTGTTTTTTGTTAGAAAACATCCATAGGAACATGTATATATGTTATATAGAAAAAAAATCATCTAGAGATAGGTATCTGAAGACGCAAGAGTCTATGGCTCGCAATTTGTTATTGGAAAAGCTAACCAACGAAACCCTAGAAAAAAAAAAAAACAAAAGTTTGTATTGAATTTTTATATTAACGACGAAAGAAAATGTCAGATAACAAAGAGAAGGACGAAGAGAAACCTGTGGTGCCAAAAACCGCTGTAGATCTGCAAAGATTAAAACTAATGAAACTAATGAAGAACATAGTAAGTATCTGCATCAAGATTTCCGGATCTATTTTCAATCAACATTGTCGAATCAAAATTGTATTAATTACTACTTACATAACATAATTGTACATAATTATATTTTAAATATTCAGGACAAACCAGTTATATTGCCGGAACGTCCAAAAGCCAAGAGTACACCTTCTGTACCGGAATTTGTTCGTAATGTTATGGGTAGCAGTGCTGGAGCAGGTAGCGGAGAGTTCCACGTGTACAGACACTTACGACGTAAGGAATATGCACGACAAAAATTTATTCAGGAGAAAGCACATAAGGTGATTACTATATAACATATGTTTAGAATTATTTGAGTCATTAGTTTTTCCTGTCTGAAAAAATTTTTCTCTTGTTAAAATCAGGAACTTTTGGACGACGAATATCATCAGAAATTGGAGGAGAATAAAAGATTAGCGGAAGAGGCAACAGCGAAAAGACGTGCTAAGAGATTGAAAAAGAAACAAGGACGTAAGCAAAGGAAACGTATGAAAATTAAGAAAGAAGACAACACTGTTGTGGATGAAAAGAATAGTGAAGATGATAGTTCAGATGACGATGAAGAAATCAGAACTATAGATAGTAGTAACGCATCTAATGAAAATGATAGTTCCAAAAATATATCTACAAGTGATAGTGAAACGAAAATTATAACGGAAAAAGAATTATTAACATCTGAGACAGAAAATCAAGAAGATACTTTAAAAACATCACATGAAGTATCAAATCAAAACAGTCAATGTGAAAATGGGACATGACATGTATGTTAACATCCTAATATTTTTCTTATTAGATATATGTACATAATCATGTAATATATGTAATCTATTTATCACTTGTTAGTTTATTCATTTATTAGAATTAAATTACAATTATAATACAAGTCAATTTACATTATATTTTTCTGCAAGTAATGTTAAAATAATTTACATTATTTTTTAAATATTTTTTATAAACATGTTTGTTATCAAGATTTTTTTTAGCAAAAACTGTAAATTGTAATAAATAATTAGCAGAAATGTTACATTATTTTATTTTTCACAGTTTCATAAAAATCTATGTAATGGCATCTAAGTTGTCAAAGCGATTAGTTCTCTCAAATATATTTGCCAAGGATTGAGCGATTTGTCGTTCTTCGATAGAACATGCGTCCTTTGTATATTGTTCTAATTGGGCTTTTGCCATAATTAAATCTCCTAGTTTTTCAGGCAAAACAGTTTCCTATAAAATATTCGAGAAATGTAGAAATTATTATATTCTAATTTGTATATTTTATTTAATAAATAATAATATATCATACTTGGAACTGTTTCATGAAATTAGAAATTTCTTCTACATGATCACCAATTTCGATCCACAAACTTTGCAGATCAGATTTTTCAGTACAGGCAGCAACATGACTAAGAGTAAGGCACAACTAAAACATATTCTGCTTGTTAAAATCCAATTAAAGTATAATAAATATGGTTAAAAATACATAAAATATAATTTAAAAAAATACTCAGTATACTAGCAATATAGTTAGTAACAATTTAAAAAATAAGATAGAATACATACTTGTTGAATTAATGCATCTCGATGCGGATATTCAACGTAGCTTGGGACATGTTGAGTATTTTCGAATGCTAATACAATACTCTTCCATAACATTACAGTATACTTGCCATAACAATTACATGCAGACAGTGCCCATGCAGCATTTGTGCGCACTTTGAAATTTGGACTATCGCATATCAAAGTAGAAAGCGCTGGAAATATTTGTTCCTATAAAAATATCTGATTTTACATTTAAAATATAAAAGATAAGTTCACTGGTTATATTTCTTTAAGTACATACTTTCCAAGAAGGTGGCAACATTACATCTGGATCATGGCTCAAAACCAATCCCAAAGCTCGGCAAGCGTTCCACCGTACCTGTTTTGAATAAAAAATTTTTTTTTTCATTATAAATAACCAAGTATTCACTTATTGTAATAGCTTTGCCATAGAAGTAACATGCAGTTGAGATATATCGAGATGCTAAATAAATCTATATATAATTACAAGTCATAACAGTACAGCAGTATAATTATTAGCATTATTAGTAATATATAATAATCATCTAAAATAACATCTAAGAAATCAAGATTTTTCCTTACTTTCATATCATTTCCTAAAACTGCGCATTTAATAAGTGCATCCAATCCTAGCGTAGTATCGGAAAGTATGTGCTTTTGTGGACATAGATATAGAATAGTTCCAATTGCTCTGACGGCATTACATTTCACCTTATCATTGTCTTTTGCAGCCTTGACGCTTACGTGATACAGTTTAGGTAGGAAATTCTCTAGAGGAAATGGTTCTATCTCTTCATGCTGCCTGAAAAGAAATATATTTATAAATATATAAATAGATAAAATAGTATACATATGTATCAAACGATGAAAAAAAGTATAAAGAACAAACTTTTGTCTGGAAAGGCAGTCACACAAGTTTGCTAATGCCCAAATGCTTTTCACGCGAACACCGAGGTTTTTATCTTCAAAAGCCGAGCAAACTATGTCGGCTAAGTCCATGAGAAAGCCGGTATCGTCCTCCAATGCTGGTAAAGTTACCAACATTCCTAATGCACGTAAACCAGCTGCCCTTACAGCACCTTCTTCATCGCGAACTGATCCGAACAGTACTGTAATTATTAATATAATTTTCTGCCTCTGTAAACATAAACAAAGATAAATACAAGCAAAATATTACAGTTATCAGAACAATATTTAGATCAAGTGTGTTTGAAGTATATTTTGAGAAAAAATTTAATCTTTTTTTAATTAAATTATCTTATCCTTTTTATGAATCTTTACCGATAATTGCGTAAATACGTTTCCAGTTATGCTACCCAGACAATCGCAAGCAGCCTCTCGCAATATAGTCTGTGATGATTGGACGAGTGATATCATAGATTCAAATATAATATTCCAAAATAATGTACCATCGCTACGATAAGTCTCGGTATTTGCAAGACAACCCGACATAATCTCTAGAACTCGACATGCGTGTAATACTACTTGACTTTCCGATTCCTCCATAACTGAAAGTAGAGTCGTGGTTACTTTTTCCAAGTGAGGAAATACAAGGCTTCCTGTATTAAATGCTAGTCTTCCCATGAGTTTTAAAGATTGAAGTCGTACAGGTGTATTAACCATCTAAAAAATTGAACAAATATTTATTATTCAGTCTGATTTTAATTAAAATTTTAATTAATTAAAAGCTTTATCAAACCTTATTGGATATATTTTCCAAGCAAATGCGAACCAGCGAAGAGGTGCTTTCATCTTTTGATATCTTGGTTTCACTACAGCCATTTGTCAAATTATCGACATCTTCAATATCTATTTCCTCTTCTTCTGTTCCAACATCGCTAATGAAACCAGTATCAAGCTGTGAGTTTTCTGATTCTGTTTCACTTACAGTCTGTCTAGCCAGTATGCTTAGTATTTCCTGAGTAATAGATTCACTTGAAGCGAATGCTTCAAAAACGGATAATGCTGCGACTCGTACAGTCGGATCTAAGAATATAATTTAAGTATAAATGATGATAAATTAAAATTTTTATAAAGTAATTAATAGACGAGATCTTTGTACCTTTGTGGAATATGTATGGTCTACAATTCCTAGCTAATTTAGTAGTCAAACCCGGCTTCAGTCGTTCGTACGGTGTGCCTTGTACAAGAGCTGCTGTGCATTTCAATGCGTGCGTTAACACAGCTACATTTTTTTCAGCGAGCAAAATTAATGATAATGTAAAATGCAGTTCTTTGATCATTAGACATACTGTGCCAAAGAATGTGATGAAAGAAGTATAATTGGTATCTTCGGCGTGTATCAAGAATGGTCTAGCGCCTAACAGCAATTCAGTTAACGTACTCAATGCATTCTGTCGTACTTTAGACACAGGTTCAACCAATATGCTTCTTGTTAACACTCGTGCGTCGTTTCGTGAACCGGTAGCTACGATTTGTGGCCAATATCCAAAAATCTCTCTACTCTGAGTAATTTCTATGAGAGCTTGAAGTAAACGTATAGCTCCTAATCTTATTTTAGAATCAATATGGACAGAATTATTAATTTCTGTATCCGAAGTATCTGAATCACTGGAATATTTGGATATTCCAATATGTTCTGGAAGGGCATTATTTCCTATGTCGGATATAGACTTTTTGGTGGATGCCTTTTTGGGTTTTGCTTTGTGATTTTTAAGATTTTTGCATTTAGGAACTACATGAACACGTTCTGGGAGATTCATTGCAGCTGGACGAAGTAATTGTGGTGTCATGACTGAATAACCTTTGATGCCATAAAATAAAAATGCTTGCACCACTCCTAATATTTCTCCAACAAAATCAGGAGATCCAGGAATCAATTTTTCCAAAATCATGCAATGCAAAATGTGCAGACACGAATTTATGACCTATAAACGTACAAGTAGTTTTGTAAATAAATAAATATATAAAATTATAGAAAATAAATTACATACTTTACTATAATAAAATTTATCATCATTGTGATATGGTAAAAGTGATAAAATCTTAAAAATGATATCTTTTATCAAATATGTAAATTCATCCGATAAGCAACAACTGTTATTTTTGTTTGTTATAATTTCTTCTAGACATCCAAGTGCATGGAAATTGATTTCAGACCATGGATTACATAATGGATTTAAATGTTTCATTAATAAACCTTTGTCTTTGAGCAACAGACATACATGCTAAAAAACATAAAGCATTTATTTTTAGTAATAATAATTCAATTTACTGTTTGTTATTGGAAAACAAATTATATACTAACATGATTGATATCATCAAAATATCCATTGTGTAAAAAGCTTTTCATAGTGATTAATATATCAACTTGTGCCAGTGGTTCAGAAAACTCCAATGCTTCCAAAATCCATCGTTTACAAGTTGCAAATGTTCGGCCATGGAGCTTGACGTTGCTTTGAGATAGATTGTATAGAAATTTACAAATATTTCGAACTAAAGAAGTTTCTATAGGTAGAACTGTTGCACAAAGTTGATTCACTAACAATAATATTGCCTGGAAGTAAATTAAAACATTTAAATAAAATGTTAAAATGTCACAGTATAATAAGATAAAATGTTTCATATTGCAATAACCAGGATAAAATATTTTTAGATATTATATAAGAGACAGTTCTTACATCGTTACTTGTAATATTAAGGCATCTATAATCCAGCTCGTTGAGATCATTTAGATACAAGTTGATCTGTTTCTTGTCATTGAGCCTTGTGCTAGTTAATGACAATAATCTTTCAAGTAGAGAAAAAAAATGTCTCGTGGTGTCGTTAATGCGATTTGTATGTAACGAGGTCATGACTATATTTACACGCGCACTATATAATTTTGTTATCTAGGACGATATAAAAAAAACCCAATAAATAATTTCGTAATTTGTATACGTATTACTACATGACATTGCACTTGATCTTAATAAATTATAAAAAGCAACAAACCGTTCGCGTTACAGTATAGTATAATATTGTTATACTTGGTAACCTAATCTTCTCATCGGCAACACATTATGCCCTTTTTGGTTAGTGAATTATTTCACCGTATTTCAGCTATAAGATAAAGGTTACATCTTTTCTACTTTATTGACCATAACATTGATCTGTCTTACCGACAGTTCCTTATCCGAAATAATGCCGCAATTTCAAAATTATCTAAATGTTTATGCTATTAAAAAAGAGAAAGAACCCTTTCCTTTTTTAATGACTTTAGATTACTTTAAATATTAAAGATTTTAATATTTTGGAATAGATTTCTAATTGGAATAGATTTCTTATTTAGATGAGATTATTATATTATTTAAAAAATTTATTATTATTGATCATTGTTATTAGAATATCGAACAAAAAAATGTCACAATTTGAATTTTACATTTTTAAAAAATGCATTTACGAATTGTTGCGTAGAGGGAGGGGGAGGAGGAAACACTAAATACTCAAAATTATTACATATATATATATTTTTTTTTGCAAATACTATCATTTCAAGTACATTACACTATAAAATCTCTCATATTTTCAGTTTCTTTGTTTTATCTGTAATGATAGCTGATTAAAAAAGATAACGTACACATTTGAGTATTATTAGTCTTGATAATTTTACAATACACCTGTGTCATATTATTCTTTCAAATTTTATCTACAAATGTGGCGCATATTTTAAATTATAGTATTTTTTGTTACATAGTATTTTTCTCAGATTGTACGAAAATTATATGTAAAATGAGTTTTTTTTCAATAATGACAAAACTCTAATACAATCTAATTTATTATAATTTATAGTTACAGAATTTAGATATTTAATTTTATTTCAGATAAATAATAAAAATAACTGTTGTGAAAATTTTATTTACTTGTCAAAATTATTACTTATTCATTGATAATTTGAACTTTATTGTTCAATAATTCAGAACTCATGAAAGATATTTAAAGTATAAAAATACTGAGCAACAATCAAATCTTAAATCACAGTTCTAACATATTATAGAAACACATGGCAACTTATGTCAAGATTGTGATATCTAAGATGTGATAATAAAAATGAGATAATCTTTTAATAACCAATATTGGTACATCTTCCGTGTTAATGCGGAATGTCTAAAAACTATAATATTAACAAACAGAAAAGGATAATTTATTACAAAATTATCTTTTTAAATGTATACTTATATGCAATTATTTTTATTGGCGTTAATAATTGCACACAAAATGCTGTTTTTTTACAATCGTTTGCCAGCTTCAAAAAAATATGCACGGAATGCGCCAATAAACGTTGTGATATACGTTGATAACCGTATAAAAATGCTTTTGCATCTAATATCTCGTGCGATATTTTACCATTATAAATAAATCAGGAAATATTTTCCTGTATGTAAAAAAATGTTTAAGTAATTTAATGCGCTTTGTATATATACGTATCACATTTGATAGCACGCTTAACAATTTGGCAGTTAAAAGGAATGGATAACATATGAATGGATTTGTCGCGAGAATCTTTATAAATTTTACATTGCAAATGTTACGTTATGTGTTAATGTTATAACATTTTGAGAACCTGTGCTATCAAGCTTTTAAAACTTAATTTTCCAACATTACCAATCAGCCTTCTATTTCTTTCTGCTCTAATTGCCATTGAATCGTGCAATTTGATTAATGTACAATTATAATTGCTTTTTCAAGCTAGTCTATAGCTTTACCATTATTTGTTGTTTAAGATACGTCATAATAATATGGTGATACTCATGAATATTTCTATCATTAAACAACATTATTCACATTCAACAATATGGCTGCGTTTGCAAATATGGAATTTATGATTGATTTGGTTGACAAGCTGCATATATCGGTCTTGCTTTTTCTTTTGCCAAGTCTGTAGCTTTCTTAGCAGCATCTTTCATTTTCTCTGCTTTACCCTGTAAAGAATGTTGTAAATCCTCTGCGAGACTTGGCTTTGTTGTAGCATTGTCATCTGTGGTACTGTAGCCACCTTGCATAGAAAAACTCGTCTGAGGTAACTTTGGATTTAGAAATTGAGCTGTGTGAGGAAACATATTTGCAAGAACATAATTAAAGCCTTCCGACATCTTGATGCAATTTTTCTTAAATCGATCTAAACCAAAAGCTTGAATTGCTCTGCTGAAACCAAAGACTTGACTATCGATCCATGCTGATCTTTTTGCAACTGTCCATTCTGAATTCTCTTCTGAGATTTGATAGACTACTTTCTCAACAATGCTCTGCAAAGAATTAATTGTGTTATAAATGCATGATTTTCCAATATAATCAATAATGATTATAATCAATTTCTACTTTAAAATATTTTTTAAATATTTCTAAGAGACAATCAACATTTAGTAGATTAAAGAATCTATGATCAAAAGACAATTATAAATTTTATATATATATTATATA